CTTAAGGCTATTGTCTGTCGCCCATCAGTGCTGTTAGCCTCTCACAGGGTGCAAAAACAGCCAATGGCTTCATCTGTCAAGCTATAGATATCTGAAAATTTCCCTGGGAAGAGGCTTTCTATGTGCCAGGCATCTTTTAAAGAGGCACACTTATCTACTCCCAGGCCAGCATATTGATCTCCTCTGGGCACTCCTGCATGTCACCCCCCCCCCCAAACCCTACTCAAAACACATTTCACCTCTTCTGTCCCCAAAGCTTTGGAAGCAGGTTTTCCATTTAAAATTTAGGCATCAAAGGCTGCCTGGCTACAACAGAAGCCCCTTCTCCTCTCTACACAACACAAGGTTCCCGGAGACGATGAGGAGGCTGGTTAGGGGGCCTTCGGTTTGCCGTAGGGCTGTTATTGATCAATATGTCCTCCACCGTATGACAGGGAGATCTAATGAACCTGACCTGTCAGCTCCCTGTAGACTCTGTGTCGGGACATCTCAGTTCACCCGACAGGGAATTGTGTAATTGTGACCAATTCATCACCCGCGACCAAACACAGGAACCAATTAACATGGCTATAATTGGCAAGCGGCACGACCCAGAGAGCCACTACTGAGCTCTCCAAATAGGATGGAGTAGCCCTGAGCTTGTCCGTAGCTCAGCTCATCGCTGTCAGACTTGTTCTAAAGCCCCCTGATCCTGAGTCACCTAGACTAGGGGTTCCCAATCACCGGAACCGGTCCACAGCCAGTATTCCACCTGGTCGCAGAAGGCTGGTGGGTTCATTGTATATAAACAATATATTTTTTATATCTGATTGCATCAGAAAAAAATGGAAACGAGGAAGCGTATGAAACTGGCTAACCAGGTTTCTCACCAGGGCTTGTGTGTCAAAGTATGAAGAAACCCCACCTGCTAGATCAGAATGAGGAGAATGAGGTGGAGTATGTGTTACTATGCCCTTGTTTCCGTGCCGGGGGGGTCCTAGCTCCAAATGAATGCCTTTGGCCCCCCATAAAATAAACACTTGAATAAAAGAATGGTTAAGGCATATAGTGGCTGACGACTGCTTTCCATGGTGAGCAGTCGACAAGTTGAACCCCCCCGTGAAAATCATGGGCCCGGCTGTCACATTTGTCCTGCTGCCGGCTCTGGTGTGTACGCATGCGTGTGTGCTGGGGGGGTTCTGTTATTCCGGGTGTCCTCAGCTCCACCCTGCCACCCCCCAAAAAAGCTCAGCCTCTACTCTGGTCCATAGGGAGGTAAACAGTGTTTCTGTGCTGCATAATCTGGGCAATTTCTCATGTGAAAACAAATCATGGGCAGTGCATTACCTAAAAAAAAACACAGTATATATTACACTTACACACGCTCACAGTGAGTCGTGCGGGCATAATACAACCATTCATTTAGAGACTGGGGTAGTTGTTTTAGAGAAGCAGTTTCTCATGAACAGAAAGGTGTCTGGGCAGGTGCAGGTGCAGGTGAAGTGGAGTGCAGGTATTTGGGAGGTATTTTCCACACAGACAGTCCTGACCTTACTGCCTCTGTGAGTGACAAGAAAGCCTTACATTCCTACACACACAAGTGCAGGTACCTGAGCACAAGTTCAGATGCAAAATGTTCAAGAGCCAAGGGCAGCTAAAAGGGTCTCTTGCTTCTCCACCTCCAACTACCTGCTCAGAGAAAGGCTAGAGAATTTGCTCAGGCCCAACGGTGTTGGCCCTTGCTAAAAGGCTTTTTGGAAGCACACGTTGGATCAGATACCCGGAGTAAGAGGATAGTAGGTGAGAAGTAGTCTCCTTTGTGGTCTGCCACAGTCTCATTTTGTGGTCGCCAAGGTGAAATCGACACCCTTTTCATAGACACGGGGGAATCCGACAAGCTCGTAAATGTTTAAAACTAGTTAAATGGGTGTCGCATCAAACATGCATGGAAGCAACAGACATGAGATTTACGGGAGCAAAGCAGATGATGTGAAATATTTAAAGGAAAAAATGTTATGTGGCTTTCATCCCGGAGCATGGTCATGGAATTGCTAGTGGTTTGGGGATGGTTATACCACACTATAGTCGGTCTCCACTACTGTGGCTTGACATTGAGATACGTGATATGGTTTATATTTGCAAAGAGTCAGAAATGGGGCTTGGGGACCCACAATGGATGCCTTGCCAATCGCTGATTGATTTAACCCAGTTCCCATTGGCTGAACTATCGATTTCCTTTGCATACTGAGGGCCAACTCTAACTACAGGCAGCGGCTTCGGGCCCCTGAATTACCTGCGTTGCGGAGGAAGTGAAATGATCATCAGTTACCTTTGTGGGGGGGGGGGGGGTCCCAAGCAAAGCTTTGCCTAGGGTCCCTGAAAAGGTAGAGCTGACCCTGCCTTTACATTACACCACCACAGGTTTGGAGGCCTCAGTGTGTGTAATTTTGGAAATAATCATTGTAATCTTGCAATGGCTAAGTAGTTATGAAAAATGGATGGATGGATGGATGCCTTTCGCTGTGACCCCCAAGCTCGCTCTTGTCCATATGTGTCTCATGGAGAGTAGGATGGGGAAGGAGAAAAGAGAACTTCCTCATGGGGATCGATAAAGTGTTATTCTTCTTGAACAGCTTTTTCTGTGGAGCGCGGCGAGACATTAGAGGGACCAAAGCTGGGCTCTCATCTATGCGGGCTGAGGCTGCGTTCGCTCTCAGGTTGGCGCGTGACGGGTGCCAGGGGCCTGGCTACAGAGTCACCGGGCAGATTGCTGGCAAAGTTACCTCTGGGCCAAAGTAACCTTGGTCTGCTGGCTTGGTGCTTTCAGTGGCTGATTGTAGTGATATGATGAAGGCTTCAGAGGTGGCAGGTGTGTAATTACTCTGGGGGAAAGAGAGGTGGGTGACGGGGGGGGCGGCGATGTTCACAACAAAAACCAAAGAAGCTCAAGCGGTGGTTTCAATGTGTGTGATTCAGGATCACCCCTCATGGAGGGGAGGGAGGCAACAGATGGCAAGAGGACTATGGCTTGTATCCTTGCACGTCTCTCCTATGCCTTTTTATTCGCACTGCCGCATCTCCGGGAAGATACCCAACCCCTCATAGCCACCAGGGGGCGGCGCCCTTTAGCTTGCAAACCTGTAAAACACACCTCAGGTCAAACAACGTGTGAAAGGCATCTTTCGCTGGATCATTTATGTGTACGCTGTTAACGGTTATTGGGAGAACGTAAAAACATGTTACGTGCTCAACGTACAAATGGCCTGAGTGGGAAAGGATGTCTGAGAGCGAGCGAAAGGCCTCGATTGGGCTCAGTGCTTCTGATAGGTGCAGCCCTGCAGCATTAGGGGCACGTCTTGCACGTCTTTGTGCAGAAGATTCTACAAGATTCCAACCTCTTAGTTGATTCCACAAGAAGATTTCACAAGAAGATTCCACAACTTACTTGTGGCATCTTGCACCGGTACAATGTCCTTTAATAGTTATGGCTGATTTCAGTGGATTATATAAATTGATATTAAGAAAACCTATGTTAAAATTCTAACACCTCTATCTTCTATCCAAGTCAGGGTTATGGCAATGCCTAGAGACTATGTCAGGCAGCATAGGGCACAAAGCTGGGGATACCCAGAAAGGGATGCCAGTCCATTGCAGAGCATACACAGACACACACACACACAGGTCTGTAATTATATCTTTGTGGAGACTCTCCATTCATTTCTATGGGGAAAACTCTAATCCCAACATGACGACCTTAACCCCTACCCAGCCCTAACCTTAACCATAAGTTACCAAATAAAATACAAGACTTTTTGCATTTTTAGTTTTTGATTGCATTCACAGATCTTTGTGTGGACCTGGAAAGTAGTCACAACGTCAAAATATTTGGTCCCCACAATGTAATATGAACATAATCCACACACACACACACACACGGAAAGGGGATTCAAACTCCAAACCCTACAGCTGTGAAGCAAAAGTGCCATACACAGATCCATCCTTAAACAGCACATGCATCATGAATGGACACAGGAAAAGCCAGAACCTCACTATACATCCCAATGCCGTGGTATAAATGTTCGCCTATTCACAGCTTCTCTCTGATTCCTCCTGCTGAGGGACGTTCGAGTGTCGGGCAGCAATCTGAAAGGCGTCCAGAGGAAAGCTCCATCGTGCCATATCTCCATCATCTCCTCAGCATAGTAATTACAACATTCGGTTTTTTAAATGGTGTGCCAGTTTTCCTGGAGGAGTAATATTTAAACGAACAGCTAATGAAGAAGGGTTTATTGGGCCTTTTATCTTAGTCTCAGCTGACCGGTGAGCCAATGAATTGGACAGCAGACGCACAAAGCAATCGCGGTGAGGAGCGCAGATACGCCGCGACCCTAATCACAGCGGCAGGCTAAAGGACACTCTCTCCCGCCACCCTGTGTTTTTTTTCTTTTTCTTTTTCCCACTCTTAATCTGGCCAAGATGTGAAAATCTGTCATTTGGGGAGAGTATTAAAACGGAAATGTCAGAGAAAGAGCGAAACACTGCGACAGAGGAACGTCCAGAAATAGAGTTTGCCGGCATTAAACACCACATGATGGAGCAGCTGCCTCACGGGGACCAGATTGAACCGGAAAGCTCACTTATTCACTTCTGCTGGCTCCGATGAATGCCAGTGATTACAGTCCTAACCCGTCCCGGATTGGGATCCTTAAATACAATCCAAAAACGTTCGATTCGAAAGTCGGTTTCTATTGATGCAGGCCAAAACTCAAGACGGATCCTCGAGTCTGACTCCATCACAGAAATTTCACAAGGGGGCGGCAAAATTGAGAACGTTCCTTTTTGTTCAACGGGAAATGTCCTGCATGTTTTCGTGGGGCCTTCCGCTTTCTGTTTTAAATACTTTGACATCTGTTGAAGGGCCTAGTATGAATATGCGTTAAATAAAACTCACTGCACTAGAACTAGAATGATGTTCTTTATTTTTGACGTCACATGATTTTTAATACACTATTAGATCCGAATCACATTTTTTCAGTTTTACTCGAGGGAACATTCACACCACTGTCAGACAAATGAAGGGTAATCAGTATGGAAAGGAATGCAAATGTTCCTGCTCTACCGTATTTTCTGCGCTACCTTATTTTCTGCTCTACCTTATTTATTAGCCAGATAATTCAACCAGTTTTTGACTTCCTGTAACTTTGCATCATTATCTTAATTGGATCATTCCATAACTAGACTCCTTTTTAGAGATATTTGGTTTGACAGAGCACCATGAATGCATCCAATGGTTCGCTTTCTGACATGGTGGAGCTATAGTTTGCGTGCTGCTTCTAAAAGATCACTGAACTTTACTGCGCTCGTGAATCCTGGAACGCCAAGCAGAATCCTTCAGCTTCAGTATTTATAGATAAAAATATTAACTGCTGTCAATTAGAGATCAGAGGACTGTTTGCTTGATGGAGAAGTGCAAACTCAACAAAGGGAAGCCAATTCAGACCGAGGCATGAAGATCAGCCACATCGCTTTGCTAACCTACCCTATGGTCTGAAAGATGCTACAATGCTAACCTACCCTATGGTCTGAAAGATGCTCCAATGCTAACCTACCCTGTGGCCTGAAAGATGCTCCAATGCTAACCTACCCTGTGGCCTGAAAGATGCTCCCACTATCCACACAAAGAGAACTTCTAAATGTAGATGAGGCACATCTACAACAAAGGAAAATTGATCCCAGCCCTTGTTGGTTTTTGGTAGTCCTGCCCTGACCAAATCTATAGCTGAACTGTTTCAAACACAAAGCTGTGTACAGGCCAATATTCCGAATTTCTCAAAATCATTGTTTTGCAAGCACAATTATTTCTTGGACCCTATAACAAAAGAGGTGAGTATTAATAGTTTCTGTACTAGCACCATATCGGTGAGGTGTCCAGGGCCAAATGACTCATGCTTACTGAAGAGAATCTGCTTTGGCGCTTCGAACCCCAGCCCAGAGCCAGGTGTGTAAACACGGTCCTCTGAAGGCCTACCACCTTCTTGTGTCTTTAAAGGTCAACACACTGGAGCAGAGGCTGCGCACACAGCTCTTCACACTGGAAGCTCACTCTTTTCTGATAGCCAGCACACATTTTGACATAGATTAGTGTAGTGTTTCCCAACCCAGTCCTCGGGGGAACCCCGGCCAGTCCACTTTTTTGCTCCCTCCCAGCTCCCAGCCAATCAGGAACACCGAATACCTGGTACAGGTGCGCTGGTAGTTGAGAGGAAGCAAAAACGTGGACTGGCTGCCCGAGGACTGGGTTGGGAAACACTGGATTAGTGGCTACACTATGGCCTTGCATGTTTTTTTCCAACACATTTTCGTTTGCGTAAGCCCGTGTACATCTGTGTGAATGTGCTTTAGGAGAGGCAATGAAAGCCATACATTGTGACTCTATGTGAAAAGCACCTTTCAAACATTTTATAGAAAAAAAGACACTTTATTATCTTATACATTCATCTCTGGGTATAATAATTATTATTATAATATTATCAGTACATCAAAAATAATAATAATAGTAGTAGTTATATATAGAAAACTAAACTGTTAAACTACTCTTTACATCTCTTAAAAACATAAAGTTTTCTTTTACTTTGTTTTATATACTTATTTCCGTCAACAATAATAATAATAAAAAAAAATCACAGAAAATTTAGAAAGTAGCGGCCGAGTATGGTAGAAGGGGAGCATCTAGATGTTTGTGATGTTTCGTACGTAACACCAGTACGGGACATGAAAGTTCACATGCAGTTGAGAGGAGCACATAGTGTTTGGGAGAGAAGATTCAGTCCCCAAACCCTCTTAGAACTGATGAACGCCTATAGACCCAGCTCTGAAGTTCAACAGATATGGGTTCAAGTCATCCTGTAGAGTAAATGCTGTAAACAACAAGGGCAAAATGTTTGCCTCTTGCTTTGTTATATGATTTATTCTCCAAGGAGGTAGGTCTATACCCACGTCTATCCCACAATGCTGATGGCAGGCTTTTAATGTGTAGAGACACAACGTATAAAGCAGAAAGTACAAGGGGACATGGATGGAGCGACTGCTGATGTCCTGTGGGGTTGCCTCTCATGAGGGGTGGTTCTTTTTGGGTTTGCATCCAGTGGAAACTGCAGCTTGTTGAATGGAGAATGGAGAGCACCACCCGTCTCTGCTGGGCCAGGAGGTAACCACTTCTCGGGTCTACAGAAGGACCCAGTCTCAGCAAAAGTCAAGATCCGTCAAAACTGTAAGGGAAATCGTGATAGGTACCATAGTCGGTGACCTTTCATAGAGGTATGGGCGTAAATGTATTTTAACGAGAGCATGAAAGAGTGCTCCTTTGAAGGTTTGTGAAGTTCCTACCTGTCCCAAAGCTTCACACTTCGACAGGTGTTGGTGCAACAGCCAGCCGACATCAGAACTGCAGAACAAACACAGGATGATGTTCTCAAGAGCTTGACGAGGAGGCAACAAGTAGATAGTCAGCAGAAAGTCCTATTCAGAGCATGAAGGCTAGAGACAAAGAGGCAGTGGACACAGACCTGTAAAAGCTGAGCCAACAGGAAGACAAGTAATTAAAAAATAATAATAATATTTTGAAAGAATTCAGTGTTGCTTCAGCTGTGAACCTGAGGCCCCAGGAATGATCAAAGGGTAACAATTCCTCTCTTACTCATCCAATATGTATTACTGCTGTGTCAGAGCAATGTAATGAGCCTGTCTTTCTCAAAAGTCTATTCTGCGAGTACCCAAGCAGTCATTTTATGCAGCAAACCAACATTAGCCATAGACGGACTGACTAACATGGGATCGGGGAGGGTCAAGACCTGGTCTCAGCTTCAGTAATAGCCATTCTCCGAGGCTGCGGTCGCCACGGTGACAGCTGGCTAAGCTAGATTTAAGTGTCTGGCTTTCCTGTCTGCTTCTCACGGCACCACCTCCCCCCCCCCAGGCCCCCAGCACACACACCACTGGTTTCACACTGTCTAGGCAATAGAGGATCACCTGCAACTGGAGGTGTGATTCAATGTGTTTACATGGTGTTAAAAGGAGTCTTCTGTTAACACCAACCTGCAATGATACGCTCACACACACACACACACACACACACACACACACTTCAGAGGAATCAGGTTTTTGTTCTTCTGAGCTACACAGAAAGACCAGGAATGTTACATGAGCAGTAGTTTTGGCATCAAGCTTCGAAAGAACATCTGCCTCTTTCACATGGGGCTCATCTTTTTGGTGCAATTATTCTCCCGTAATGGACACATATTGGGTCATGAATGATTCATAGCGTCACATCTTAAGACCTCAAAGTAGGACCTGCACCTGCATTGACCTGCTAACATCAGGAGCGACTCCTTCAACTGATCTATGACTTTCGAAGTAGGTTTAAAGAGCACAGGGTTTAACTTTGATGACTAGTGTAAGAGGGCTGTCTGCACACTTTATGTACTCTAAAGTCATGGGAAGAGCGTCTTGAGTTTAATGCTCTTTTTCTATCGTGGAGCCATAGAAAGCCATACTGCAAGGAACTGTATTACTATTATTGTCTGAAGCATCAATATCCAAATATTATGAGGTCACGTTTCATATCAGGACCCTCAGTCATGCTCCTTGATGGGTTTAATACTACGACTATGACTATGACTCTGACGTCTATGACGTCTTTGTAGAGCAAATGAGATTCATATAGGAGAATGTGCTGTTCATAAAATTTCACCAGAACAGTAAATCCTTCAGTAAATATAGCAGAAATGAAAAAAATTACACGCGGCAGATAATTTATCCTTGTTTGGGCAGAGATTTCTACAGTGAGACCTAGAGTCACAGCTCAAAATTTCTCCAGAACAAGTGCCTGTTAATCCCTTCATGGTTCCCAGCCTGTGGTACAGTACATTTCAGAAGTTAGCTATAATATAGTGATTGCAAATGATAAATAAACTATTTATGTGTCACGTCTTTGATACTGATAACACTGGACAAAGAAAACACACAACATAAATCCACCCCCAAGGACACTATCTGTCAGAAAAACATCTGATTTAATGTTATCTGTTTGCACAGTGACATGTCAGCGACGATAAAATTAAAAATAAAACCTTATAGGGGCTTTTCCACTGAAAAACAAATCCTTTACGATGTGCAATATTAAGATAAGCCATTACTTTATTATGACTTAAAAAAAGATGCCTGAATATTTTTTTGACATTCACCATCATTGTAATTGAATATCCTTCCACCGCTTTTTAGAAACATCAGACTATATTTAGTCACCATGATTAATTTCGTCTGCAAAAACCATTGCAAGCTTGTGCCCTCTGCTTGTAGCATCTCCAAAACACCTTGAGTACTTTCCAATCAATCGGTCGGAAATCACTGTCCTGACTGTTCAGCATGGTCCCAGCAGTGAAAATCGGGTCATAAAGAAGCCAAAATGTACACAACAAACACCACTGTCTCTGCCGCCCAACAGCTTGGTGCATAGTTGTAATTCATTAAAATGAATTGAAATTGTGCTGGTATTTCATGCAAAAACAACCTGCGTGCATCTCGATTCCCGCTGTCTTGTCATTGGCCTATACAAGGGTTCCACTGCCTGGCCTACTATGGGATGTAAAATGCCGGCCTGCAATATTTGCCTGGTTTCATTTTCTCCCCATTAGGGGTAATTCAGACCAGCAGCTCTCGTTCTGCAGAAGCACAGGGACACTGGGAGAAACTACTGCCCACTTTCGCACAAGATCTCAGCTTTACTCTAGATGCCTGCTTCGTGTATGTCTATCCACAATGCAGATTAATTAGCATGTTTGCTATCTGTTGCTTTCCAAACCAAGACGCGGATCAAAAGGTTGATCAAAAGGTTTCTTCCTCCTTCCTTAATACAAAACCACCCCCAAGCTCGCGTCAGCTACATGCTCAGGTATTCTGACAGTCTGTAAAATCACTGTTATCAAGTATCAGTTGCCATGACTACTCAACAGGTCTCAGTGACAATGTTCTTGTTAAAGAATTAGGAGAATAGGGGAACGTCATTCAGCTCTGTCCTGGTTCTCAGACATTTTCAGTCATTTACTGGAGCTTAGAGTTCAGACTCTTTAAGCGAAACTGCAAAACAGATTATCTGAACCAACTTCCCCATTTTTGGAAGGTTAAAATGGCCTCTCTTCATGCTTTGCAATTCTCAGTATTTCATAAGGCTGGAATGGGACAAAAATCGATATCTTTTAATTTTGCATCGCACAATTTTCAGTATGCAACATTAATTATTTACCACAAAGCAAAAAAAAAGACAACATCACTAGGCAAACACACGTGCTCGGAGTAGCATTTTTTTGTCATTTTCACCACAGTGACACTGGCAAGGTATTATGGGTAATAAAACTGTAACTGAACGCAAGCCCCCCCAAGGGGGAAAAGAGGCCTGTGTGGGTTTCAGGGTTTATTTTGCAATGAGGTAATAGCATAAGCACTCATAGGCTTTGCTAGTATGAATTCCTATTATTGATTAGTCATCATTTACACTGCATTTTAATCTCATGTGACCGGTTGTGTATTTTCTGTGTTCTGTCCTGATTTGCTGAACCACTTCCTATTCTGTCGGTAATTCAATGCTGTCCTACCATTGTGGGGTTACTCTTGGACACCCTGGTGAATCTGTCACAGCGCTGGTGCTAATGAAGGTACATGGACATGGTGCACAAGGTCCCTTTTCTGACAGGCCATGGAAGCTGGGGGAACATCTAGGATACATTATCCTCTCTCACTGAGGTGCACACCTTGCTGGTTTCTCTCCTAAGGGCAGATAATGATTTCCGTAACGACATTCGGGGATTCATTATTCAGCATCGTATAAAGTGCCCGTCATGCTCATCTCCCCCAAAATGATGCGTGCGTCATCTGACGTATCTGGCATCGCAGCTGGGCACTGGCTGTCTGTCGTCCTGCTGGAGATGCGAGGGCCTGGCAGGGTCTCTCCACAGTCATGTGACCAGAATGGCAGCCCAATAGGGATGGAGATGCAGTCATGCCCACGATCTGACCAAAGGCTTTCGCCGCTAGCCACATCGTTTGGCGGTTGCGGTTGAGCGATTAAGCAGAACTCATTTAGGATGACATCCAGTACAAAAAATGCCTCTTCCAACATACAAATGTTACAGCAATATAAATGAATTTCACTGAGGTGCTGCTCTTTCATATAGGCAGCCCTTTGGTGTAAAGCATTACAGGTCTCCTAAAGGTGACTCCTGGGGCCTCTAGGTCTCTCTAATGATCGAAGACTCAATAACCCCCATGAAGCCTAGCTGCGTCGTACTCCTGTGTGTGACAGATGCCCTGGCAGCCCCTCAGAGCTGCCCCAGAAACATGCGACAGGGGCATCTGCCCAACCTTTGGACCCCAAGCGCTCTCCGCGTCTGTGGAAGCTTCCCTAACCAGGAGACGCTGCGCGCTGAGTCAAAGCATCAGAGTACAGAGTCAAAGCACAGGGGTGAAGAGTCAAAGCAACAGGGTGCAGAGTAAAAGCACCAGTATGCTGAGTCAAAGCATCATGGTGCAAAGTCAAAGCACTGGGGCACCAAGTCAAAGCACGAGGGTGCAGAGTGAAAGTACTGGAGTGCCGAGTCAATGTACCAGGTACCAGAGTGCAGAATCAAAGCACAGGGGTAATGAGTCAAAGCACCATGGTGCCAAGTCAAAGCAGCAGGGTGCCAAGTCAAAGCGCAGATTCTGGACTGGCTGGTGTCCATCTGATGACCCTGCAGGACCCCCTAGGGACTAAAATATGGATTTCTTCTCAGGCTGGGGCCCGCAAAGCTGCAATGCCTCGGCTTAAAGCACAAAACAAACAATACTGTTGTAACAAAACTACTTCTAGAATTACAAAGAACAATCGTTCCATTATGAGTCTGGGCTCTAGCTCCTTCTACCGCATCTTCCCTTCCGAGTCGCGTGTCAAGGTTATGCACTGGCAGCTGACGGCGACCAGGCTTGTGTTCAGTTCATAAGAGGCGAAGATGCCGATTAATATGCAAATTATTCCTCACTATAAATAATGGTGGGGGGGCTTCAAAGGGTAATGCTAATTGGAGTCAGACAAGCAGCTGCTGGCCTATTTCGTGGGCTGGCTGTACAAGTGGCCTGCAGTAGCCATTGGAGATGGAGACTAATCACTGCTAACAGCAGCAGTAAAGACACAATGGGAAACGGTTCCCACTGGCAGCAGATCTTCATCTCCAGCTTGCTTCAGTCCTCCAGTATCCCAGAATTCCGCACCGTCACCCAAGGCACTGGCGCATTAATGCTTAATGGTCTTTCCCTTTGCTTTGAGACTTTTGCTACCCTTCATCCTGAGGGCTGTGACATCAGCCAAAACAACAACCCCAAGGAACAAACATGATTTATTTCTGATTCGTCTTA